GATTCCCATCTTTGGGATACGTAGGCAACTTTACCTTGAAGTTCAGTCATAAACTTTTCCCCGATCAACTCTGTCCATTTTGATCGTCTCAGTCATCTTTATCCATCAGCATTTATCGTGATCTCCGGTACAGTGCTGTTCAAACTAGGGGCAACTTTCCGTTGCCACGACGGTGCAAAGTTACTCAGACAAGGGGCAACTTTCTGTTGCTGTGAAGTGCTGCATTGTTCTTCAGACTAGGGGCAACTTTCCAGTTGCAGGGATCTGGGGTTGTGCATCTCAGTGACAGATCTCCGGTGTGTCCAATTCTGATTCACATCGAAAATAGTTTTGAAAAGTTTTAATAAAAGTTGACTTTGTTCAAATTAATCTTTTTACGACTAAGACCATTTTTGGACCAAAAGCGGAAAATTTTCAGTACCACAACTTTCAATTTCATTGATTTCAAAATAGAGTTCTCCTGCTCTTGCATTACAATCGAGGATGCTTTTTTTGGTACATTCATAACGAAAACTTGAAAATGCTAAATAAGCAATAAATTTGGGGCATAGTTGAATCAAGTATCTCTGCGTCCCCTCCCAGAGCTGGACGGAGCATCTGATGCCAAGCTAGGCCCAACCTGTGCCTCCTCATTGAGCCAATCCAAGCACTCATCGGACAAAGTGCAACTGAAAGTTGAAGCAGGGGCCAGGAGCTCTCTAGTTCTCCATGCCGTGGCATATCGGGCGAGCTGTGCGCCCCGGACCAGGAAAACAGCTGGGTACTCAATCCCCTCCGATGGACAGGTCTGATCATGACCAAACTGACGCAGGAACCGGAACGGAAAATAAAATACGCAGTGGGTTAGACCAATCAATTGGATCCCAATCAGCCGGGACATACTATAGCTCATTGTCGGGAAGTTGAGCCAAGGACAACGCCAAGCAATGCCGTCTGTGGACAAATTGCACATCCAATCGAACCACCACCTTTCGTCAAGAGCATTGACAAGGTGCTGCCGAAAGAAGTAGCCTCGAGCTGAATTGGCCGGGCAAGAATCCACAACCTGCAACTTATCCATTAACATACCTAGGGGAGGGATGGAAGATGAGAGAATAAAGAACAGAGAGATGTACGATGAGAGAAAAGTAAGACAAGGGTTTTGTGAGAAAAAGAAAACCGAGCCTGAGGGTCGAAGTGAACAAATATACATGTAAGGTCGGGTGGGAAACATTACCTGCAACAGCAGTGGACTCCCGGCAAACCTAGTCGCCTCCCGGCAATAGACAGAATCTAAGCCCATCAGTGTCTCGGCCAAGGTCATGGCAATACAGCTCTTTCCTTCTCTCAAACCTTAGGCGACTTCAATCAGGCGAATGCTAGCCCCGCCGAAGCCCGAGAAGTAGAAAGTGAGACAACAAACATAAGCAGAGGGCGTGTTGCCGAAACGCCTAGCAATAATGGTTGCTGCGGTCACCGGCGTCGGAAAAACGGTGGATCAAGCCAAGATGTCCAGTTACCCCACTGCAGAATCAGAGTTTGCGAGCATATGCGCCGTGAGCCCACACATCCGCGCCTAAAACCTAAGCGTGGCCAAAACGGAGCTGGGACAAGAGTCACTTCAGAGGCATTCAGACCCCCTCCATCAAAACCTGAAAATCTTCGAAAGTGGGGCACATCTCTTGGCCGCCAAAGCTAAAAACGTGCGTCACTGGATTCCAGAACCTTGCCGCGGCATGGAGAAAAGGAAGTTGTAGCGAAGTACGGCTCAGCGTGAATAGTGCATTCAGGCCGAAACCCCGGAAATTCAACTTCTCCGAGCCATCTAGAGAAGAGATCCAAGATGTGACATTTTCTGCGAGAAACGCCTCCATCTTTGTCTAAAAACTAAGATGAAATGAATGTTCCCGAAGTTGAGGCTTTTATAGAAGGAAAAACACTATTCACGGGGACACGTGTCAAAAATCTGGTGGCTGCAGGACAAAATGGCCGGCTAGCCACCTTTTCTGGCTGGCCAGCCATTTACTTTTTGCAGAAATGGCCGGCCAGCTGTCTCTCTCCACAAAAATGGTCGGCCGGCTCCCAAGGATGGCCAGCAATGCTCCAGTGTATCCCCTTGGCCCTGTTTTACTCTTCGAGGGAAAGTTCCAAGCATTTCCATGCAACGGGAAAGTCAAAGGCCTTTATCTCCCTCCGTTTCGGATGCGTTCCGATGCCCAGATCATCAGAAGTACACTTTGTTGTTGTTGAGTTTTGTTTATCGAGTTGTTGTTTTGCTTATCGAGTTGTTTGTCGAGCGGACGTGTTTTGTGTTTTTGAGTCATTGCGCTCTGTTTAAGCAATCTTTGTTAAAGTCTTGTTTATTTGTGCTGTTGCATTTTGCTTATCGAGTTGTAAACTTTCTAAGGTCCTGTTATATCTTAGTAAGTTGAGTTGTTTAGTTTGTTGCGTCGGTTCACTACCTGACTTGGTGATTACACAAACGCGCATTTCCATTCAATTTCGTTTTTGTGCAAAATAAATGATGCGATACGTTGCTGAAAATTTAAAGCACAAACACTTTTTCAAAAGCTATTTCATTTCATCATGCTTTACAACAAACAAAGGTACAAGTTTTACAAAAAATAAAACTGCCTAACAATGTGCAAAGTGCTACAAACTACTAGCAAAAAGAAAAATAAAGCAGGAAATAGCAACATCAAAGTCCTCGGGAGCGGGAACGAGAAGCACGCCTCATCCTCTTTTGCGGGACAATCTCCGCACCACCATCTGAGTCGGAGCTGTCATCCTCAGGATCCCCCTCAGCCTCGCCTCTATTCCCCGAGCCAAAACCGGAGCCCCCCTCCTCAGCAGATGTCTCTGACTGACGATCGGTAGCCTCCTCCTCATCCTCAGCATCCTCCTCCTCCTCATCAGGCTCCACCTCCACAACGTGAGCCCTGCGTCTGCGGACAGGCCCTCCTCGAGCTCCCCGAAAAGGCCTAGATGGCCCGGCTCCTCGGGAAGGCCGGGATGGCCCCGCCCCCTGAAAAGGCCCGGGTGACCCAACTCCCTGAAAAGGCCCAAATGGCCCAGCTCCCCAAGGAGGCCTAGGTGGCCTGGTCTGCGGCTGACCGGACCATGAAGGCATCTGAAAACAAAGAGTTCAATTCAAATACATCAGTCCAAATATATACATCAGATGCAGATACAAGCAAAGGCTACATGAAGTGGGTGCATGTAGATACAGAATACAAGTGGCGTGTGTGTCAGATGTGCTCTACACAAGTAGTCTATCGATGCAGTAGAAATCAGCATGTCATCAGAAATATGATAAATGCCAAAAAAACTGAAGGGTACCTGAATGCCCGCGACAGACAACTGTGCCTCCCTCCGCAGGACCATGCCCTCGAGTGTGGCAACCAGTCCAACCACCTCCTCCATGTACCCTCGCGATGGCTGCAAAAATGAGCTCATAATCATCAGTGAACAGAAAAGTGTCTAAACATCTGAATGATGAATGAAAACAAGTGGAGCATACCGGCGGTGAGTCCGGATCAATGGCGTATCGATCACTGGGCATCGGAGGCTCTAGTGGAATCGGAGTCGGAAAGCTAGCCCCATACTGCCACGCCATCAACTCAGTCAGCATATCTGGCCATCCAGGATGAGGATAAGCCGACGGAACCGAAGGAACCGGTCTACTCCCACCTCTAGATGTACCAGCCCTGCTAGTAGAAGGGGCGTCTGCAGCCCGAGCCCGAGCCTGGCCCGAGGATGACATACCAGCAGGCCTCGTCATCGGGGTACGAGCTTCCCGTCAACTGGAGGCATCAGTAATGTGACGGTAAGTGGCGTAGTCCGCCTCCTCAACAATATAATAAGCATCACTGCCCAGCATGGCGCCGACTACCTCCGAATAAGAGAGCCTGTCAGCAGTCCGCATACTGGCTGGAGTACTGCGGGGGATCCTGAGAAAGATACCCCCATACCTGCGTGAAAAAGCGTTCCCCAGGAACCATGCCCTGAAACCGGCCCTTCAGGCAGGACCCTATACTGGGAGATGTCCGAACGCTCGCGGTATCTGAAGTGCGGAGACCGTCACCCAGGGAACCTCAGGGCTCAATGTAATCTGCGGATGATAATGCATAAACCAACAGAAATCGAGAATATATCAGACAATCAAAGATGCGAATGAAAGGAAATTGAAAAGTTCTGAGGTACTCTGAATGTCCGCACAGTGTCAAAGTATGTCGCAGGCGAAGGAGGGTCTCTCGAGCCTCGGCCGTGTGGCCCTCACCGAACACAATGAATATGGGGTCCCATGGGAATCCCTACCACCTCCAGCTCTGGGGCTAATGATGGGAATATACATAGACTCATAGGCTGAGAAAAGAGTGGCAGAATGTAAGTACGAAAATGCTGAGAGCAAAATACAGACTGTAAAAAGTGCGCTGTGTGTGTGCAATGTACAAGTAATGAAAAGCAATAGAAATGTAAATCAAAGCGGACAGAAAAGTACCTCCAGGCTCTCCAAGTAGCCGCCAAGTAAGTCGCCCCGCCCGCGGAGGCTCGCGCTCATATAAAAGTAAAGGGTAGCCAGGCCGGCGCACCCCAGTCATAACGATCGGACCTGTGATAGGTCAACCAAGAGCGCTCAGTAGGTATAGCCCAACTGTGTTTCCTTGTCGGCAAACAGGGTAGTCCCCGAAGAGGAACATAAGAGGAAACCACGGGCAATACTGCTCTGTCTCCTCGGTGAGTCTCAGGCACCATCCCCTCCGCCCGGAAGTGGGAAGGAGACCATAGTGTTCGACTCTCCCAGAGACCCTGTCAACAGGTGGGCGAGGCCCCCAATAGATACATCCAGGCGGCCTCCACTCACCATGTCCTCATCGTAGGGGAATGGACAACTTCCCGACGTCAAGGCCGGTCAATACAGCAAAGTCAAAAGGGGTCATGGTCATGTCCCCGTAGCAGAGAATGAAAGGAGTTGGTGGTGTCCCACCATCCTCTACCAAGGCTCCATCAATGTCGCCTCCTGGCAGGACAACGTGACAACCCGACGCGAAGGGCCCGACCCTGCCAAGTCGACTAAGTTCGAACACCCTCCGGGAGCTCGGCATACCAGTCCCGCGCAGATGGTGGAACCATACCCCGCACACTGCGGGAACCAACCCTGCATTCAGATGAAATACATATGTCAGTAATGAGATGAAATGGCTTGTGTGCCAGACATTACAATGGGCTGTGTGCAATGAGATGAAATGGGCTGTATGCCGATGAGTGAAATAGCTACATGCAAATTCAGTTAACATCGTGGGCTGCGTGTTCACTATCTATCTGGCTGCGTGTTCAGAAATTTGAAGTTTTGGGCGGCTGTTCAACTTTCAGTTAAATGTGGGCCTGCGTGTTCACTATCTCTGGGCTGCGTGTTCAGAAAATTTGAAGTTTGGGTCTGCGTGTTCAACTTCAGTTAAATTGTGGCTGCCGTGTTTCAACTTCTTCTGGACTGCGCTGGTTCAGAAAATTTGAAGTTTGGCTGCGTGTTCAACTTTCAGTTAAATTGTGGCTGCGTGTTCACTAATCTATCTGGGCTGCGTGTTCAGAAAATTTGAAGTTTGGGCTGCGTGTTCAACTTTGAGTAAATTTGTGGGCTGCGTGTTCACTAATCTATCTGGGCTGCCGTGTTCAGAAAATTTGAAGTCTTGGGCTGCGTGTTCAACTTTCAGTTAAATTGTGGGCTCGTGTTCACTATCTAATTGGGCTGCGTGTTCAAAAAATTTGAAGGTTTGGGCTGCGTGTTCACTATCTATCTGGGCTGCGTGTTCAGAAAATTTGAAAGTTGGGCCTGCGTGTTAACTTTCAGTTAAATTGTGGGCTGCGTGTTCCTATTATCTGGGCTGGCGTGTTCAGAAAATTTAAAAGTTTGGTGCGTGTTCATACTTTCAGTTAAATTTGGGCTGCGTGTTCACTAATCTATCTGGGCTGCGTGTTCAGAAAATTTGGACAGTTTGGCTGCGTGTTGCAACGCTTTCCAGTTCAATCGTGTTCAACTTTCAGTTAAAATTGTGGGCTGCGTGTTCACTTATCTACGCTGGGCTGCGTGTTCAGAAAATGTTGAAAGTTTGGGCTGCGTGTTCAACTTTCAGTTAATTGTGGGTTGCGTGTTCACTATCTATCTGGGCTGCGTGTTCAGAAAATTTAAAGTGTGGGCTGCGTGTTCACTATCTATCTGGGCTGCGTGTTCAGAAAATTTGAAGTTTGGGCTGTGTGCTCTAAAAATCAGTGTTTGGGCTGCGTGTTCAAACTCTCAATTAGTGTGGGCTGCGTGTTCACCTTCAATTTAGACTGCGTGTCCAGAAAATCAGTGTTTGGGCTGCGTGTTCAAATTTCAACTAGTGTGGGCTGCGTGTTCACTATCTATCTGGGCTGCGTGTTCAGAAAATTTAAAGTGCGGGCTGTGTGTTCACTTTGGAATTCGGGCTGTGTGTCCGACAAATCAGTGTTTGAGCCGTGTGTTCTAATGTGGGCTGTGTGTTCGCAATTAATTAATGAGCCGAGTGTTCAGAAATTCGAGTGTTGAAACTACATGTTCAAGATGCAAGCGAAGTACTATGTCATAAGCTAAACTGCATGTTCAAGCATGGCAAATGTGCGAAATGCAGGAAGAATACAGAAAATGAAGTAAATACCTCTCGGGCCTCGTGAGAGAGGTGGTGCTCCGGCTCTCGGAGAAGCAGATCCACGGGCGCTCGCTCGTCGAAGCTAGTAAAATGACGAAAGACAGCACGAGGGAGAACATGTGCTGGCGGACAGTACCTCTCGGGAATAAAAGATCGGGACCTCGGGGGTAGAGTCATGGGATCGAAATCACCTCCGGCACCCGGAAAACCTCCGCCGTGGGGAGAATTGCCCGCCATTTTCAAAGAATCTGCAAAAGGGAGCAAAAACGAGCAAAATGAGCCAAAATTGGAAAAAGTCAACAAAAGTCAACTCTCGGGAAATAAAAAGTCAACAAAAGTCAACTCCCGAGAAAATATTCCAAATATTGAGACAAATTTACCTCAAGTGGCGAAAATGCAAAAAGAAGCTCCGAAGCCGGAATTTAATCGCTTCAAAGTGCTTGAAACTGAGTGTTTTTGCGAAAACAATTTGCACGGGGCGTTGGAAAATGCGCGTGAAACTCAGATCTGGAGAGGAAAGTGTTGTAGAAGGCAAGAAGGGAAGGGGGCCTCGGCTGCCTTTTATAGGCTCAAGTCTTGATTGAAGAAGCATGAAGGAAGGGGGTGAAAAAGACCAAAATACCCCCGAATAAAGCACATGGCTGGCCGGCCCCTATTTCTAGCCGGCCAGCTATCTGCTTTTTGCAGAAATGGCCGGCCAGCTATCTACTTTATTGGAAACCGGTTGGCCACCTCCCCTTGGGAAGATAAACGGCCGGCCATGTTCCCCACATGCCTACCTAGCTCTCTGCAAATTTTGAGGAAGATCGGAGTTCCCGGGACCTGAAAAAGTTCAAGAAAAGTACACTTCCGGTCGCGAAATTGCTCCGTCGGAACTTCAGCTTCGAGATCTGACATGTGTCTCATCATCACTCATCTAAATCAAAGTGTATCCTTTTTGAATGAGTTGTAACCTTTCAGGGAAGTGGATCGGAGGCCGCGATCGAGTTGCCTTCGCCGAAACACGCGTTTCCGTACTCGTTGTTTCATGACAAACGGACGCCCTGATTCATGCTCGTGTCACATTATCTTACGTTCTCATGAGCATACCCACTTTTTTATGCACATTTCTTGATGTTAATCATACTTCTGTGTTTGAGCATATGTTGTCACGCATGTTCCATTCTTGCATTGCGATGCATTCACTCACCAGCACTGCGTGTGTCGAGCTTTCGGAATCACATTAAATAGATGTTGTTAGCATATTGTGCTCGTTGAATTCTCTCTTTTGCAGGCACGATATTGTATGTACGGTTCAATTGAGGCTGGTGCGACCAGACGAATCGCGCAGGGATCATATCTTCTCCGTGTGAGACATGGCGGGGATTGAATAATCCTCCGCATTCTTAACTGCATGAAATGTAGTTGTTGCTTTGCATTCTTGCTTAAAACTGTTGCATCTATTTGCGAATACTTGCTTCATTACAGCTTGCTGCATTTGTTGCGTGTTCAACTTTCAATCA